ATCCCGCGAACGGTCTGGTTGCATGGGTGTTTTCGTGGTTTTCCCGATGTGTAACGTGTATACGAGCCAGTTTCCCTTAGAAAGTCCTCCACGAAAGCATCCCTCTCTTTAGGCAGATAGCCCTCGTGTGCTTTGCCATAATTAAATAATCCAATCCAATCCTTAATTAAATATAATTGATTTGTAACTTCTACTAGAACTGACGTTAAGAATTGAAGTGCAAATAAATAATATCGTGTGCAATCTTGATTAATGTAAAATTAAAAAATATTTGCACAGAAAAATTTTGCATTCAGACAGAAAGTTTTTTGAAATATTTGCAATTACTTTATAAGAAGGATTTATTAATAACCGTAATAATTACTTATTATATTACTGATGATTAGGATTCAGTTCTTGACAATTACATTCTAAATTAAAATTTTAAGAATTATTAGAATTTTAAATTAGAATAATGAAAATACTTTACGCACAAAAATACATTTTAGGATAAAAAATGAGTTGATTTTTTATGTTTTAAAACTTCCTGAATTCATTTAATAAACATCGTATCCTCGTTATTAATTGAATTCCAGAATGTTGGGTGGGTCGTTTATATAATTATTCTTACTTGTCCACAGAAGCTCCTGACTTATCCAGCGATTAAGTAGCTGCAGATCATTTCTACATAAACACATGAACTTCCACTAATTCAGTCTCTAGAGGGTTGTATGTTTATATCATAATTTGACTTTATATAAATGATTATTCTAAATCTTATGCTTCTATAAAAATATACTGTGCTTTTTAAAAATATAGATGATAGTAAAAATGCCGGTCTTTCAGCCAATTCAAAAGCATCAGTTTATTTGGAATGAACCTAAATAGTTCAGTTAAATGTCATAAAATTCAAATAAACATCAAACGAAAATTCTCAGTTTTAGACAATTCGATTTAAAAGAAGTAAAGTAGCAGGCAATAAAACGCCGAAGGTAAAAATTTACTCTTATAAAAAATTTACTCTTATTTAAAAAAAAAAAAAAAAAAAAAAAAGATAGAGAGAAATTTTAAAAAAATATTAAAAATTTGAATAATATCATTAAAATTAAAAAAAATAGCTTTTCATATAGTATTAATAAATATTTATTACGCATTATTGTGGGAAAAAAAAATGTCATATAATTAATACTCCGTAAAATTTTACTTGAAATTTAAGGTTAAAAATAGCTGTGGCAATACAGTGTGTAACAAAAAATCAATAGACCACATTTGGCGTTATTATCGCTCAAAAAAAAGATGCCAAATTTCAAACCGCGAAAAAATATGTAAATTTGTGTATATCTTAGAAAATTTTGAATAAAAAAAGTCTAATTTTTTGCAGATATGCTTAAAAATATACCTACTTTAAGATGATGGTAAAAATTTTATAGGTTATAATTCAAAATTTTTTTCGAAAAAAAAATTTATAAAAATTATTTAAAAATAGAAATTTAAAAAATAAAACACAAAAAATGGGTAAATTTAAATTTATTTAGAATGAAACTAAATTTCGAAATGTGAGAGAAAAAAAATCAAAAAAGTTTAATAAAAAAAGAGATATAAATAAATATTTGCCAAATTCAATTAACATTGAGGAGCTAAAATTTTGAGAGCTAATATTTTAAAAACTACTCGTACGATTTTTACAAAACTTGGTATTCTGGCATAATTTGAGTCGTAGAATCAAAATATGTAAAAACATTGGTATGTTATTTCAGAAAAAGTCCGATTTTGTGTCAAAATACCTATGTTAGAATAGTGCTATATATAAATCTAATATATATCCTAAGTCGCGCTTTCGCGACATGAAGAACGCAATTTGAATTTCGTGAATCGGCCCAGTAGATCGGGCGATATAGCACTGTTCCATTTTTTTTTTTTTTTTTTTAAGTCCAAAGGGATTTCAGTCCCGAAGGACTATTGCTTTCGTTTTGGCATTTTGCGTCGGACTCATAAACGTCGGTTCACTTTTCAAACTGTTGCCACAAAATGTTAGAGTCCTGCATTATATTTGAAGAAAATTAAATAATGAAAAATCTGCATAAATGATTGTCTATTTCTCGCATTGTGATAAAAACAATGGTACATAGAGCCATCGAATTTTGAATGACGAAATCCTACTGCGAATATGGGCATCTGAAATCCCAAATTTGGAATTGGTTTTTATTATAGATTTTATATTTTGTAAAACTTTAACGAATTTTTGATTTACAAACTCAATGCTTTAAAAGCGAGAAATGGCAACGTTATATAGAAAAAAAAATACTTTTATCTCCAGCTCGCGAGACTGTGTATATCGGAAATTCTAAAGATATGCTTAATTTAACATTATTTTGCGATATTGCTCTTGAACTGAATTTTATGGTTTAAGTGCAAAGAACATGATATTTAATAAATAAAGGTAACACTCAAAACGTTAAAAAACGCCCCTTTGGGCGTAATTTAAAATCTGGAAAATTTCAGTTTTTTTTTTTTTTTTTTTTTTTTTTTTTTTTTTTTTTTAGCAGTGTACATCGAAATTTCTGACAATATTTATATGAATTCCGTCAATGTATGTATTCTGTCACTTTTGTCAAGTATATCTCAACATTATGTATACATCAATATCAAATATGTATGGTAATATAAAATTTTAAATAAACGTGGTTCCCCTGAGTGAGCAGTAAAGCTGAAAATCTTCATGACGGCATAGCTGCTCACCCAGTAGTCTCCTATAGGCAAAATAGTAAAATAACTGTTTGATAAATACATAACTCTACAATCTTATAAGGCAAAATCGAAATTTCTTTTACCTGTTTGTAATTTGCATTAGAAGTGCTTTCCTTTAGAGGGAGTAAGAGAATGAACCATAGGAAAAATATCACTGTTTGTTCAAACAAATACTGATAACTACTGGATTATTAAATGCATAGAATATTAACGATCAATCTAGAGCTCTATTTTTTATATAAATGAATAGCTTTATTCCCCGAAAATTTACTACTTAAATAAAACTTGATAAATGTTTCTAAGTTCCTCCTGAGGATATGTTTAAGAAACTTGTATAAAGTGGAAGCTCGCCTTTAATCTTCAGTAAGCTATCTTTGAAGTTTCATGAATCCACAAAGCTTTGAACTCGAAAATTCTGGTGACAGCAAATAATTAATTACCCTATATATTAATTATAATAGTTAAATGAAACAATTAGTTAATTTGAATCCTCTCTAAACTAATCTATCATTCAATGAAATTTGAAACTATTCTCATTCGATATTTCCATTAAAAATTTTTCATCTTTATTATTTTCAGATTTTGGAAAACGCTTTTATATATTTCATATTCCGCTAGATTGTGAAAAGGGCGAAATGTTTGTTTAGTTGATTATATAAGCTAGGTATCAAATCGTTAAGAATACAGTTTTGGCACCGTTGGGCACAAGCATAAGACACTGGAGAGAGAAAGGAATTTTAGGCTTCTTAACCGGGACTTAATTTTCAAAAAAAAAAAAAAAAAAAAAAAAAAAAAAAGAAAAAAAAAAAAAAAAAAAAAAAAAAGATTAAAAATGATTATCAAAAGATGAAACTAATTAATAATATTTCTGATGTGACTTTCTCGTACGGCCTATTATATTGCACACATTTTATGCTGCATTTCATTTAAATTTATTTAGTCAAATTTTATTAGAGATATAGTTCACATTCAATTAATTCTGTTCTCACTTAATGGCAAGAGGCAAAAAATAAGAACTCACAGCATTTCCATTAAAAATAGTACAGAGAAAAAATAAACTACAGAGAAATATGAAACATGGACAGTAAGACAGACTTTTTGGTGCACAAAACTGAAAGTTTACATTTGGTTCCACTCAGAAAAAAGACACTGCGATTGATGCACCAACTGATTTAATTCAGTACTTTACTAAGAGCTTCAAATGTAAACAAATGGCCGCCTCGCTAGGCTTAGCACCCCTTTAACTTTTGAATTGTTGATTATTCTATAACTGTCACATACTAATTAACTAAAGGCATAAAACTCTTAACTTATATCGAGCCGGGTAACATGGTATATATATACGATTGGTAAACAGATAGTGAACTCCATATTTTAAAAAAACGGATAGCCAGATTTCTGACGAAATTTCACTACTTTACTCCAGCAAAAGATCAATCGAATGATTAGTTTTTGCTGCAAAACAGTACAATAATGCATTGTTATGCCAGTCCTTCGTCTTCAAACAGTTTCTACAAATGAAAAATGTCAGAATTCTCAACTTCTTTGCTTATTCACCAGATTAGCTACCTATAAGCTGTTTTCTCTTGTAGAGACATTAGGTATTTTTTTGGAAGCAGGCAAAATGAAAAATGAGCAAACGCCTTCGCCGAGAATCGAACCACGGACCTCTCAATTACGCTCTGAGCGTGCAGAACCACTACACCACGAAGGCACGCTAGGGAGGCGGGAGAAATACCTTATGCTCTTCCCTTAAATTAAATCTTACTGCAAGTATTACTATTTTAACAGCATATTTAAAATCGTAATACGAGATTTAAACAGTATTCCAGTTCGGAAGGATTCAAGAAAACGTATGAATGGGCCACGCATTCTATAGATTTACAAGGATTACAAAGATTACTACAGATTACAAGATATTGAAAACTAAGAAGTAATAATATTTCTTTCTTCGAATTTCCATTTTATATGAACTTACCCCTAAGACTGTATAGAAGCATTGTGTACTGTCTGTGTACCATGAGAATACCTCCCTGGAGAACTGCCTCAGCTATCTGCTATCGTAGAAGCGACAGCTATTTCTCGCCATAATTATTTCTCGGTGGATTGTCTTGAAATAAAATGCATTTAAGTTTGCCATCTTGAAGCATTTAACGATAAATTGTCTTTTTAATTTTTGCTTTAACAGGGATAAGGGGTGAACATTAATCTCAAGCAAAATACCAACATAACGGATGCTGATTTAGTATATTATACAGATGGCTCCCAAATAGATGATAACACAGGCTGTGCCTACATAGCCCTGCGAAACCTGGACACGCTAACACTTTGGAAAGGTCACCTGGACACCAATGATAGTGTGTTCCAGAGTGAGGTGTTAGCAATTGACCGGGCACTAACCCACATCATACAGGAGCAACATAATGGAAGCTTCATATTGACAGATAGCTTATCGTCTCTGCATGCACTTTTAAATCCAGTGCACTGTTCCCCGCTCATAGCAGACATACAGTCGAAATTACATGACAACAGTCATTTAAACGTAAAGCTGCAATGGATAAAGGCCCATGCTGGCCAAACAGGAAACGAGCTGGCGGATCAGCTAGCCAAAGAAGCGGTGCAAAACATAAATGCTGAACAAATTAAGATACCTTGGCCAATTTCCTGGCTAAAGAAAAATCTTACTCAAAAAATCAAATCCCTGTGGCAGGAAGAGTGGAACTCTGACGACACAGGACGTCGTGTTTATTATCATATTCCCACAGTAACTTATGATCGCCTCATAATACATGCTCAACTTGTACGGTATATAACGGGATATGGTCCTTTTCCTGCATATTTTGAAAGGTTTGGCATTACAAATACGGCACAGTGAATTTGCGGTGAATTGGGCACACCCGAACATTATGTAGCTAACTGCCCACTAACAACTGATTAGCACCTGCCGATCCCGCCAACGAATGAGCAAGCATTTAGCAGGTTCATGATAAATAACAAGCATGCAGTACGAAAGATTAACAAAATTGTTAATAAACTTATGGACCTCGGCACTGACCTGTGTCAAATCTAATTTTATATATGTCTCTAAAGTATATCATAAAATAAACTATTTTGAACTGTACTAAAACTAATGCAAATAAAAACTAAGAATTATCCCTTTATGTGGACTCCCTCGAGTACATTTATACTGAATAATTATTTTAGTACAGTAATCGTTTTGTATCAGTAATCGTTTTGTATCGTTTTGTATCAGAGAAATTGTGTATAGTATTAATTTATTGTATCATAGTTTTGAAAACATTGTAATAGAGTAATCGTATTGATGATCGTATAGATGATAAGGTTATTACTTTTAATGTTTACCTAACTAGTATAATTGATAGCGGAATAGTTCTGTTACTAAATAGAGTAATCATATTGAATAAGAGTAATTGTTTGTTTTATAGCATCATTGTGTTAACTGGTATGGTATGATTAATCATTGTACTTAGTAAATGCATAGAATCACTGTACTAAATTATTATATTTTAGTAATCACAAAGAATCATTCTATTGAATCACTGAATTGTAATCAACAAATAAAGTGCAAGTTATACTGTACTGTACATATTTAACAAATTGATTTCTTTACAAGTAAATGTAACATCAATACTATAATAGGTACTTAAATGACTATACCCATATATTTAAATGTTATTAATAACATATATAGTATTACTACAAATCTGAATATATATATTAAATCACTGAATACTTGTATCGTAATCTTTATACTTCAGTCACTGCATATAATTATTGCTTTGGTACATGTTCTAAAGAAGCAGTATAATATCACTGTATTGCATCATTACATTATTTATAATATTCAGTGTGCAAGGTAAAACTGTACAGTACATAATTTATAATTAACTGCTTTCAAGTAACATGTAATATCATTGCTGTAATGATTAATTAATGGTGTAATTTAAATGTTTGTGTCACTTGGGTAGTGAGGTTTATAATACAAATGGTATTTTTTATTAATTTGAGCAATAATATTGAAATTTTTGAATAATTATATAGATTTTTGTTCTAATAAGCGCATAGAATTGTTGTATTGAATCATTGCATTTGAATAATCGTATAGAATCATAATATTGAATTATTCATGAGTAATCGTACGGAATCATTGTATTGAATTATTTATTTGTATAGTATTTCCAATGTGCAAGTAAAATTGTACTGTACATATCTTATTTTTGAATTGCTTGCTAGTAATATGTAACATCATTTCAGTAATAAGCACCTGTATGAAAAAAAAAAATATTATTTTGATGTCAACATGGCATATATGATTAATAATATGAATAGTATCATCATTAATTTAAGTAATAGTATTGAATCATTGTATATTTATAGTGAATCATTGTTCTAATATTCGCATATAATCATTGTTTTGAATCATTGCATTTTAGAAATTGTAAAGAATTAATGTTTTTATAGTGTATTTATAGTCTAAGTGCAATTATTTATTTAACTGTATTAATATCCAATTTTAATATAATAACTGTGTCTTTAGTAGTAAGCTGTAATATAAAAGTTAACAATGACATTCAGAATATTTAGAGAGACTTATGTGAGATCTAAGTATTTTTACACTTCTCCACTATAAATTTTTTTAAGCTGGCAATGTATGAAATATAAGCATTTGTATGTTCTTGGGTTTTTGTATACTGAGTTTAAATGTTGAATTTTGCATTAGTAAATTCATGTTGACAATGTCGTCACTTATCAATCACAACAGTATATATTAATCATTATGTATGATATATCTTCTTTATGTATTGAATTGTAAACTTTATATGTAACTTGCTAAAATTACTTGCTAGGGTATTGAATTGTAATCTTATGTGTCACTTGCTAAAGTTTTGTTCATAAGTACTGTGTTCACACAGATGTAACCATTTTTAATATCTATGTTTTGTAACACTAATCAATGTGCCCTATGAGTGGATCTCGTGTGGCTCTAACATGAGTCAGCTTTAGATAAGGGTGGACGTGGCGCTAAACCAATTAACCATAATGGTAAAGGGGTGGTGCCCACGTCCTCCGTCACTAAACTAAACTAAACTAAACTAATTTTTGCTTTAAATAAAATACTCGGTATTACTTTCTTTTGTCTTTTCCAGGGCCAGTATTTACACAACACAACATGGCAATAGAATTTGAATCTAACTCCTGAAATGTATAAGGCTTGTTATTCTAGTGACCTCATTAGATATTTCTCCCGCCTTCTTAACATGCCTTTTTAGGGTAGTGGTCAGTACGCTGGGCGCGTATTCCAGAGGTCTGTGGTTCGATCCCGGCGAGGATGTTGCTCATTTTTCATATTTCCTGCTTTCAAAAAATACCTAATATCTGTCAGTGGCGCCCGAACTAAAAGGGTGGTGGATGATGATTATCCACGTCCAGGATTTGGCAGTTGGGTCCCCTAAAACTCAGTCGCCCTTTAAAAGTTGGAGTATATAAGGTATTTTTCCCGCCTTCTTAGCATGCCTTCGTAGTGTAGCGGTCAGCACGCTGGGCGCGTATTTCAGAGGTCCGTAGTCCGATTCCCGGCGAGGGTGTTGCTCATTTTTAGTGTATTCTGCTTCCAAATAACAATAATTTCTATACAGTGGCGCCCGAACAGGGACTTGAACCACGGGGCTTCTCGAATACTTGCCGAGCGTGCTGAGCGCTACACCACGAACGCATGCTGAGAAGGCGGGAGAAGTACCTTATAACCTTCCCGGTTTAATAAGCTGGCGAGCTTAGCCATCTAGAGATCCTGCATCTACGCGAGAGTAGGGCGGCAACGAGAGTAGGGGGCAGTAACAGGATTGGCTGTCCAATCTATGTGGCTAATGGAGCTCATCCTTCGTATCTGTCTCTGGCTAGGATCTGCCCTTAGGCAGCCTCGTTACCAGGAGCACAAAACCACGTGGTCTGGCGGTTTCACATGTCCAGCTGGGAGGTTCCTTAAGATGAAACTTCATTGAGGGTGCTGGTGTAATCCCTGTGTAAGGGCGAAGTACTGGTAGGTAGCAAACTGACGGATCAGTCAGATCTCCAGGCATTTATGTTCCCGCCACCACGGTCTCAAGGAGCAGTGAGTGGTGACCCTACACTCACTGAGCAGTGCTGATTTGAGAGAACAGCCTGCCTCCTCGGACTGAGAGCCCGGGGCAGTAACAGGATTGGCATAGTTCTAACTCTCAGGGAACTTTTAACTTGCGTCCCACCCTCTGCCTGATGTGGAGGTTGCATGGCGGTGGGGCCGGTCCGTGTGGTTATTAATTGATACAGCGTTCAAGAATTATTATTATTATTATTATTATTATGCGTTGGGAGAGGCTGGCATGAGGAAGATTATCTTATTCCACAATACTAGAACCATCGTTTCTACGGTGGTCTATTCAGACGCGCAGAGACTCATATCGGTGGAATAAAGTCTGAGCTCTGTATGATCGCTACATGTTTTTAGATACTCTCTGGTGTCGCAATACTCAGACCTAAATGGTAGTGCCTTAGTTGGTACTTGGCCAGGAACACTTGCCACTAGCTTACTGTACTTAATTTAGAGAGATAGTTACTTTGTTTAAAATACGAAAAATAGGCAATAAGTATATAAATAATAAAGGAAAGGAAATAAATTCGATAAACTGTTCTTAAAAATTTAGCAAATTAAAATAATTTAAGCCTTTTCGTTCTGAAATGAAATCAATGACATGAGTAACATGATAGCAAAAAAAAAAGATATCAAAATTAACTATTATTATTATATTTTATTATTTCTCATTCGCCTTTGAGAAAGCAACAGAATTAATATGTTTCTAATTACTGCAGGCTCACATAGCGTAATTTAAACGTTTGATAGCAATTATTAAGCAACTCCTGGTCTCATAATGAAAACGTTCGTCTGGACATATTTTCTTTTCTTTTTACTTTTTCCCCAGTCTTTGTTCTACTGTTCTTATATCTGGGATGATGTATACTGAAGTTAATATTTAATTTACACTTACAATATTGCTATTAAATTGCATGACTAAAGTTTAATAAAGTTATAAAGAAAAAAAATACTCATTAGATGAGAAAATGTCAGTGAAAGCAACGCGTATTAATTAATTTCTTCAAAGTGACACTGCCTTTGTATTTATTTCGAACGCAATTAATTAATTTGCATACATCAAAGGAATGGTGTTTCCAAAGGTTGATAAGTCAATTAAAAGAGAAAGAAGAAATTAAAGCTTTCTTAAAGTGAGTAAAATTCTGTATCATCTCTCAAACAATGTAAGCAATGAAGATAGGGAATTAGTCACTGTATCAAAAATCAGTTTCTTTTCTTTCACATAATTAAAACCGAGTTCTTTTTCGTTCACAAAAGCTTCGCGTATCCAAAAATATTTCATTATTTTGCCACGATATAAAGTTTCAATCAGAATAATCCCCGTCATTTGCGTAATTCAATATTTGGGGAAAAAAAGAGGAAATTTAAGGTAATATTAATACTTCTTGTATTTAAATGACCGTGCATTCCGGCGTATAACACGCACTTTCAATATAAAAAAATAAGATCGAAATTTACGGATGCGTGTTATACGCCGGACATAAAAATGAAAGATTTAAAAATAAAGAATGAGCATAAAAAATTAGATTTCTATATGCATCTAAATGCTGTTTATTGAGAAGATATGACATTCATTATGAACTTAAGAATTTTCATTATCGGATAACATGAAAAGTTTGTCATTTTCCTTATATCTTCAGGCGCATCATCGAATTCTGTTTCATCTTCACTATCATTATTACTCTGATGCTTAAATAAATAATCATCATCATTCGTTTTATCCAAAC